GAAACCGACAATACCAAGTGTTGGTGAGGATGTAGAGCAGCCGGATTCTTGGTGATGTCTGTACCCTGGGCATGGCCCTCCAGGCTTTTCCATGCTGGCTGTGCTTCCAGCTACTGGCCACTGCATGTTTCTGCTTAAGGACTTTCTCTGGCCTTAAGAATGGTTCTGTTGGTAAGAACAGCAGGCCAGCGGTATCAAGAGAGTTGGGGTATTTATACACCACTCCAGTCAATCTTTGGTCAGGAACCTAAAGATTGACTCCCTGATGTGTGTTCTACATTTCCAGAGATCTTCAGTAGGATTGAGCTCTAATTGCCTGCAGTGGTACTTGCTTGATAATGCACCCTTTATTGGCTCTGACCTCTCCTCCATTTCACTTCCTCACTCCTTATCAAGATATTCTGATAGGGAATATCTTTATTTGGAATATCTTATATCTTTATTTGGAATATCTTATATTCCAAATAAACCATGTGCATTCAAATTCTTACTTTAGGTTATATATCTGGGGAAACCCAAATTAAGACATATGCTATAATCTAATAAAAAGTTTACTTAAAATGAAAAGGGCATGGGATATAGCTCTCAGTTTTGGAAGGATAACAACTGTCAATATGGCTTAGGAGAGATTGGTTTAATGATGCGGTATATTAGGACATACCTTGCCATGATGATCAATGTAAAAAGTGCATTGTCACCAACACAGATGGAAATGTTATGATAGGATCAGAAACTGTGCTAGAAGTTTCATAGTTTATCTCACTCAGTTATTATCATTATTATACTGGTGAAGCAGTTGAAAGTCACAGAAGCAAAACAACTATTCAAGATCCCCTTTCAATTTCAGGATGAATTGGAGGATATCAAACCTGAATAACTCTAAGGCCTGATGGTCAGCTGTTACGTTGGCCAGGTTGTGAAGGATCCAGATGAGAATTGAGGAGCTAACGCACTCTATCTTCTACTCAATGAGTAAACCAATGAAGTCGTAAAACAGCGGAATACCATGGCGAGGTTTTGTGAAATTGCCTTCTGGCTTCAGGATGGAAGATGAGGAAGGGGAAGGGCAGGAGGCAGGGTAGTCATTGCAATAACCCAGGGCTAAGATGTGAAGACTGAACCAGGCAGGGGCTGGCTATAGCAATGGCAAAGAGGGGGTGGATTTCAGAGATATTGGCTGAGAGGAGCGGGTAACAAGTCTTAGTGACCAATGGGGGCTGAAGAAGAGGAAACACAGTTTCTTGTTTCGGCTGCTGGGTGAGGACAATAATTTTTACTGAGGTTGCTTCAACGATTCACTGTTCTTATAACAGGGTTCCCCCTGGTGGTAAAATAAAACCAGGAACAGGATTTCTCATCCTGGGTACCTGTTATTGTAGGAAACAGCTATGCAACTGAACATAGTCCCAGCATCATAGAATAAGGATGCCCTTTTCCTTTTGTGGTGGCAAAGAGCCACATCTAAAAATAACTAGAAGCTGAGTCAGAGTTGCTGAAACCAGGAAGCAGGGCCCAAAAACAACCTTCATCAGCTCAAGCAAGGTGGCTCTGGCCACCTTCTCTCTCCAAGATGTCTCTGTGTAGCTGGGAGGGAGGAGTTGGCTGGTATCAGTGACACTGAATCCAACCGGCATTGGGAAACTCCCCTGGGGAATACTGATCTTATTCCTTAAAAGCATGGCAGAGGAAATAGAGACTTTAAAGCCAGATTCATCTGTGTTTGAATCCACATATCTGCTAGTATCAGTTTCTCCCTGTGTGAATTATACACAGTAGAACCTAAATGGTTATGAGGTTTGAGATAATGTGTGTAAAGCACCACCAGCTTGATGCCTTTTTAACAGTTGGAGATGATGAGGATGATGATGATGACTTTGGGAGCTTAGGAGATGGCTCACGCAGCCCTTTAGTCAATTAGTAGAGGGCTCTGATTGATCTCATGAATATGATTATAAAAAGTGGGAGTTCCAGGGTGGGTGTGGTGGCTCGTGCCTGTAATCCTAGCACTTTGGGTGGCTGAGGCATGTGGATCCCCTGAGGTCAGGAGTTTGAGACCAGCCTGGTCAACATGTTGAAACCCCATCTCTACTAAAAATACAAAATTAGCTGAGCATGGTGGTGCATGCATGGTAATTGCAGCTACTCAGGAGGCTGAGGCAGGAGAATTGCCTGAAGCTGGGAGCTAGAGGTTGCAATGAGTCAAGATCACACCATTGCACACAACCTGGGTGACAAGAGCAAAGCTCTGCCTCAACAAACAACCCCCGTAAAACTGTCAGAAGCCCGCAGAGCCAGGTACTGCATCCAAATGGACAAGGTGGCACCCCAGACAGATTTCTCTTTGTGCTTTTACTCTTTATGTTTAGGCATTGCCCTTGGAAAAAACAAGAGGAATTTTCTAAAACAGGTGTGTTTGAATAGGCCTGAGTCATCCATCAAGACGTGATATTTCAGAAACTTTCCATTTTGAGGATTTTCATGCTCCTGATTAAGTTTAAACACCTTGCTTGCTGTATAAATACACATGGAGTGTAACCTTTTCTTAAGTAATGCAAGACCAACAGCTACAAAAGGAGCTGAGAAGGCAGCCACAGCACGATCACATCTAGTGGTTTCCTTTCACAAATCCCTTAGGATCCTGGAAAGGTTTAGTATTAAAGCTCATAAGAGTTTCCCCTTGAAACCACTGCAGCCTGGGTTTTTTTCTTCCCAGGAGCTCTGTGTATTAGTTGTTCTTATCCACCTGAAAGCTTTTGTAAGCTCACTAATAAAAACAACTGCATTTTCTCGGCTTAATTACATGTTATTGAGTGGTTGGTGTGTCATGCTGTAAATGTACAGTAATGAGACATGTTCTGTTCATTAGGGACCACCAACACACTAAGCAAATGGTAAATCAGCTATTTTATTGATGTGTGCAGAAAGTAACTCCTTACATGTCAGAATGTAACCATTAAAAAAAACCCTTACTTTATTGCACCACACACAGACTGTATCATGCTGAATAGCAAAATAGTTTGATAAGATGAATCATTTATTATACATTTCATAATGAAAAGGGTCAGGCTTTCCTACAGCAGTGCTATTCTCCCAGCCTCATTTTATCTGATACTGTCTTCTTCTCTGTTCCTTTGATTCTAGATTGCTTTGCAGAAGGATATAACAACTGATGCGTGGTGGGTTTTTTCTTTGGCTTTTTTTTTTCCTTTTTTTTTTTTTTTTGTTTTTGAGTCGGAGTTTCACTCTTGTCACCCAGGCTGGTGTGCAGCACAGTGGTGCGACCTTGTTTCGGCTCACCTGTGACTTCCTAGGAAGTCATTCTCCTGCCTCAATGTCCCAAGTAGCTGGGACAACAGGTATGCACCAACATGCCCGGCTAATTTTGTATTTTTTTACGGGGTTTCGCCATGTTGGCCAGGCTTGTCTTGAACTCCTGCCTCGGCCTCCCAAAGTACTGGGATGACAGGCATGAACCACCGCGCCCAGCCCAACCGATATTTTGTAATTTTTCCGGACACAGCCACAACCTGTGGGTGTTTGGGTGGGGGTGGGATGCAGAGTAAACGTATACAAACAAGTCTGCCTTTGGGTGAGTATAGTTTTAGAAGCTCATCTCTAAGAGGTAGAAACCAGAATACTTATTAAGTGAGGGAACAAGTGACATAACCAGTCCCCTCTTCCCGTACTGACTCTCCACCACTTCTTCCCTTGCCTAAGCCACGGGATGGCCAAGTTCATGAATAAAGTGGGGGATATTCAATTTTCCTCATAACCTGAGGCAAGGCTAGCCTCAGATTGTGACAAAGCAAACAGAAGGCATCTTCTCCATGTCTGAGCAGTCCCCAGCAGTTCCACGGATTTGTGGGGGCAGAGTGGAGCTTATGGAGTAATTGCTAATTGATGGCCAGTCCTATTCCCAAAAGCAAAGAAGTTGAAAAGCAATTTTGTATAGTATTCTAAAAAGTTGTCAAAAGGAAACAGTGAAAATATTTTCAAACAATAAACTAATTGCTCTTTATTAACTCAATAAAATGTGACTTTATATATGTTTTTGAGTTTTTCGTATCATTCACTGTTAACTTTATAATTTCTGAAACTTTTAAATTCCTCGAATTCTTCTTTGCTACATTTGAGCAGGATTTTGGTGAAAACGTAAATGGGTTACTTTGTGTATAAGGATTGCAGCAATTATATCTACATAGATTATAAATATTTGTGTAAACATCATTGTCTTAATCCAGACAGGTCCCAAGCCAGTGAGCCTGAGATACATAATAAATGAATGGATACCGTAATCTGTGTATGTGTGCTGTGGATGGGTGTTGTTAAAAATTATGCCTACGTGTTTTTGCTTATTGGATATGTGGTTCTTCCTTTTGAGAGTGTTCTGAGTTCAAACTAGACCCATTCCTTGTTTTGGCTCAAAGCTGTTTTTCAGTCATAACCAACTGTGATGGGCATACATGTAACAAGTGAAGCCAAAAGCTTGCACCTTTCTACGTACTCAATTTTCCCTTCACCTTTGCTGGTGATCTCTGGATGTGTGAGCCAAATGTGTGTATGTATGACTCAGTAAAACATTTAATCAAAACAGTGTCTTATCTTTTCTTTCTTTCTTTTTTCCTTTTTTTTGAGACAGAGTCTTGCTCTGTCGCCCAGGGTGGAGTGCAGTGACACAATCTCAGCTCACTGCAATTTCCGCCTCTTATGCTCAAATGATGCTCCTGCTTCAGCCTCTTGAGTAGCTGTGATTACAGGCACCCACCGCCATGCCTGGGTAATTGTTATATTTTTAGTAGAGACGGGGTTTCACCATGTTGGTCAGGCTGGTCTCGAACTCCAACCTCTGGTGATCTGCCCACCTCGGCCTCCCAAAGTGCTGGGATTACCGGCGTGAGCCGCTGCGCTGGATCTAAAACAGTGTGTTTTCAAAGAAAACTTTGAGTAAGAATAACTTAAACCACAGCAATGTGAGAATGACCACAGTGACTGCCTCTTACCTTCCGGTATCCCCAGAGCTGGTTGCCCTTCATGCCATGACAGTCATAGAGTGTGACTGGGCTGTTGTGTGAGATGGCATCGAAGCAGAATTTCCGGGTATGCAGTGGCTCACCAGGTCGAATATCTTCCCTCCATCCAAAGGTAAAGAGCTAGCAAAGCAACAGTAGCAGAAAAGCTGCAGTGAGTTTGACTTGGAGAGAAGATGCGAGGGCAGGGGGAGGGATGTCTTTTAGCAATGTAAAACTCCTGCTTTGTGATCTACTAAATAAGAGCTAAGTCTCAGCATGAGAGAGGTGTTGGAAAGGCACATGTCATGAAGCGCTATAGCAGCAACAGCTGCACTTTTGGTCCAGGCTGCCAAAAGATGTAAATGAAGAGTTTCCAATCAGGTACCAGAGAAAATAACAGAGGCTGGTGGAAAAAGAGGTTGTGGAGGGGCATGGAAGGAGGGGATTGAAGGCGAAAGACTAGGAGGACATAAGGAGGAAAGATGGTGGGGAAAGAACAAACAGTCTTTTTGTTTGTTTGTTCAGTTTGAGACCGAGTCTCGCTTTATCTCGCAGGGTGGAGTGCAATCCCGGCTCACTGCAGTCTCCACCTCCCAGGCTCAAGTGATTCTCCTGCCTCAGCCTCTTCAGTGGCTGGGATTACAGGTGTGCACCACCACATCTGGCTAATTTTTGTATTTTAGTAGAGATGCGGTTTCACCATGTTGGCCAGGTTAGTCTTGAACTCCTTGACCTCAGGTGATCTGCCCACCTCGGCCTCCCAAAGTGCTGGAATTACAGGTGTGAGCCACTGTGCCTGGCCAGAAAGTCTTTAATAACACTCTACAGTCTTTAGTTAGATAAAATATTACTAGAACAAATCCTACACAGTTTGCCCAAATTTGCAGGTTAACTAAAGAGACAAGGAGTAGAGATGAGCTGAATTGATGCTAGCACCTTGAAAAATCTAATGTAAAGGAAAGCCAAGCTTGATGAAGCAAAGAATAGACCCATTAATTTCCTAGGTTGGTAAGAGTAGTTCTGCAGGGCAATGTAGAAAGTTTTAGATTTTAACTCACAGTAAGAAATGCAGTAAACACACACACACACACACACACACACACACACACACACACACACACACACAC